GCTAATATCTTATAATTATTTGCACTAAATAAACTTTTAAAAGAAAAAAAAAAACTACAGCACCCAGTATTCCCATGTTGTCCCCAACCATAGTACTGACTGGGCCATCAGTGACTTATCTTCGGAGATCGGACGGGTTCCGGAGCTTTTCACTGTGTATGGCCGTAGCTGATAGGTTACTAAAATAATTAAATATCTATTTAATGAATTGTTTATAGGCAGATGGATTATATGCAACTAAAATGGTTTGTAGATTAAATATAATGATATCAAGAAATAATTCTGCCGGTTCTACCACAAAATTTCGAAAACCATTTTCCCAAAAGAACATAATACCGACTAAATTGGCCAGCATTATAACTAATGCCGGCTAACTTTGTCGGTTGGGATTTTGCGGTAAACCCAATTCTGCCCATTATAAAGCTCAAACTATTACAATGAGAATATTTTTCGCTGTTGGAATTATTATTATTCATCCTAAACGAACTCGGATTTCTTTCTATGAAATTTAGCCTAAACTGAATAGAACGGTCACTAGACATAATGTTCTATTATCAAAAGATAATTTTTTGCTTAAGATTTATTTCAAAAAAAATTTTACTAAGAATGATCAGTTTAACTAAATTCGTGAAAAAAATTAGTAGCTATGTATCTAATTATGAGCCAAAGTGAGTTTAAAAGGTCACTTCTTAAAAATTTGCATCAGAATTCACTCTTAACAAAATTGTATAATGTTGTGACGAATGGTGTTCAATTTACAAATACATTCGTGAACGATTTACTTCGTGTTGCTGAGCTGAATAACTGGCCTTTTAATATTCTGTTTTTTGATAAATAAATACAATGATTCCTAAAATTACAATTTCTAAATTTTATCAGACGCCCGCCATGCAAATTATACATTGAAGCTGTATCATCGAAACCTAAATTTGTAATAAATATGGAAGGCGATAATATGGAAATTTTTTCTATCCTTATAGTAGATGTCAGTTTACTATTTTATGGGTATTATTTTTGTTGACTCAAAACAACCTTTTTTATAGGACGGACACTTGAAAAATGTTGGACCAAGTACTAAATTTGGGGAAACGCAAATCTCTTGCTTGTGTTACTGAGAACATACGCTCCCTTGGCAAACAGGAATATATTATGGGTAGTTCGTATAATCTCTACGTACAAAGCTGAAATTCCTGCAAAGTATCTAATGGAGCTTGATAGAGGCCTACCACAACGACAGTCAGTTAAGATTCAAAGGTGGCCGGTTAATAATGATTTGAGAGCTGGTTTCGATCTCAAAGAGCCAAATGGATGACGAAGTATATTGATAGCATTAGTCAAAATTCGGAGTTCACTTTTTCATGAGAACGATGATTAAATTAATTGTAGCAGTTCATAGCGTGTTTTATTTCAATACGTTTTATTAAAATAAAATATTAGCATTACGATATTGATGGGGTGTTAAAAATAGGGATTCAAATTAATATGTATGTCTTAAATCATAATAATAAAGTCCCATGTTGGGACTTTGTCTTTTCATGTATATGAACGAACTACATTAACTGTATTAATAATAATCGGTTTGATCAAGGGTTTTCTATGCATTTTTCGGGAAAAACCTGCAGTCATGTGATCCTATAATTAGAGATCTGATCCGTAATGGTAAGTACCGCCATAAAGTACCCCGAGTATTAACCAGGAAGCTCGTGTTAACCACAAATAGTACCCCCGGGTACTGTGGTACTATGTATGGGGGTACTGTAAAAAATTAGGATACTGACATAACGATAATATTTTTCTGGTATAATACATAGTACCCGGGTATTCAAGGCCGTTAGACTAATATAGTAATATATGGGGGTACTATTTAATGGGGTACTTTATGGCGTGCTATACGGTATTATTTGCAGGTAGTATTGTAAAATGAAAGTAAATTGTATAACATGCTTTTATTTTTAAATACGTACGTACGGTTCCTCGCGTGCTTTTACTTTTAAAAACATATGTCGCGAAATATTTGTATTAACTCAAAAAATGGAAACCCGTTAACACGACCAGAAATTATTATCGAAAAGCCTATACTTTAATAGAAATATAGCTGAAAAGAAATAGATAACTTTTGTTATTTCATGATAATCAGTGTGGAAAGGTTGGACTTTTGTAAGATTTGTACATGAAAATTGGCTACTACAAAAGCTAAGTGATAAGTCAGTTGATACGAACAGAAGCTACATGAGTCTCAGGTAGGGTTTACAATTTTTTTAACTATTTTTATTTATGATGGTGATGATGAAGCATGGTTCAAATAGGAAGCTATAATAGTGTAAATATTCTCTCACAACTCTCCTATTATAGTAACAACCCTTCTATTGCAGAGGTACATCGTAATAACCCTTCTATTGTAGAGATGCATTGTAATAACTCTTCTATTGCAGAGATACGTTTTGTGAAACATTTTGCCATAAAAATGTGTTTTCCTGTTTGGCGGTAGAAAACTTGGTTGTTAGAGGTGCATTTTCCTGTTTGACAATAGAAGATTTAGTTATAGAAATGTACTCTCCTGTTTGGTGATAGAAGACTTGGTTGTAGAGGTGCAATTTTGCAAAATCATTAAAATAACATGCCTTTTGAAGAATCTGAATCATCAGTATATGAAAATATAAAATCTTTAAAAAGGAATAAAGCAAATATTAATTGTCTTTTTTCAAAAAAATTTACTGTATTAGGAAACAAAACTTTCTACATGAAATAATGAACCAGTACCTTTCACAAAAAGTAAAATTACTCTTCTCAAAGGTGAAGATGAACATTTTCAAAAATGGCCATGGGTTGTTGAAATGCAAGATTTATTCTTTATTGTACAATCTTGACTAAAAGAAATTATAGCTGATTACAATATCAAATATACAAAAAAAGACAACCCCATTCTTTTATCAATTGTGAATACAGTTTATTCAAAAAATTGAATTAAGGCAAAATTTACCTGAAGCAAATGGAGTCAAATTAACAATACTTCAAGCTGCCTTATTAATAAAACAGTAAAAGAAACAATAAGTGCTGATAGTCTTAGTAAAATAAAGAATCACTTGTATTTATTTTATTTAATTACAGTCAACTTCTTCTAAGTGCAAGTTCTATAAAAAATCTCTAAATGCAAGCCTTTTTTTGGTCCCAACTTCATAAAAAGACTTTCATATGATTGGCTGTTTAAATCAATTTAATTTTACATTATTTATATAGTTTAAAGTACTTTTTAAAAAAAATAAAACTACCAAAAAAAGAAGTATATAAAAGGTTTTATTAGGGTTGTAGGACTCCACTATTAAAAAGTATCTTCATCCCTTTTTGTTTTAGAGAAGTTAGCATAATAGCAGCTTCTTAAAGTAGATAAAATTAAGTTATTACCATGCTAACTTCTCTAAAACAAAAAGAGATGAAGATACTTTTTAATAGTGGAGTCCTATAACCCTAATAAAACTTTTTATATACTTCTTTTTTGTTTATTTTTTGTAGATTTCTTTTTTTTTAAAAAATACTTTAAACTGTATAAATAATGTAAAATTAAATTGATTTAAACAGCCAATCATATGAAAGTTTTCCTATAAGTTCCAACTACTATTACACCTATAGATTTTTACTTCTCTAAATGCAATATCTCTTTAAATGCATATTTTGCAAAATTTTTACATATGATCTCATTGCATTGTACTTAGAGGAAGTTGACTATATGAAGTTCTATAACTATCATCTGATTATTAATATTTTTAGTTTTGATTTATTTTGTATTTTAGTTACAATTAAGAAACAGCAGTAAATATTTAAAACTGAATAGATGATTAAATGAAGGAAGTTAACAAGCAAATATAACTATATTTACTATAATCAGTAGAGAGTTCATTGATATTCAATATGTAAATAATGAACATCAGTTTACTGGTTTAAAATGAAAAAGAAATTTAATTTCATTAAATAAGAAAAATAATAAAATCACTGAAGTTAGAAAAGAAAAAAGGCTGGACTTTCTAGTTGAAACTGTATATGAATATCGAAGTTCAGAAAATTGTTTTTAAAAAAAATTATTGCATTTTAAATATTTAATAGGAGAAGTTTTTAAAAGCCCTTCCAATCAATCTGGAGAAAAAACCATCTCGGATAGGTATAAAATATATAAAATAATGAAAGACAACTATAATATGATTAGACCATATTTTTATAATCAATATGATTAATATATATATCAGGATTTTAGTTTGAGAAAGTTAGAAATTTATAGGGTTCTGGTATCAAGATTTGATTTAGAGATTTTTATTCTTAATTGACCAGGAGCTGTTATTATTTGGGTTCACTATGTAATCAGAATAGAAATTCTGATTAAAATAGAAAATAATAATTATTATTTGTGAATAGATCATTTAATATATGCATTAAACACTCAACATTTTTTGATAAATAAGTTAATTAGTAAGTTGAAAAAGAAAAATCACAAAATGAAGAATATAAAGAGTTTCTATTTTCTACTATTCCAAAATCAATAGGTTTGCTATAAGTAGTAGTAGAGAATGTGATTAAAATAGAATAAATCTATATCAATATTAAGTTTTTTCTGTAATAATATATATATATATATATATATTTTTTTTTTTTTTTTAATATTGAGGTGACCACTTAGGCCCCTGGCACTTTATTAGTTCAAATGGGTAGGCCGTCCGAAGACTG